AAAAAAAACAACATACAGGGAGAAAGAGTAAAAATTCACTAAATTGCTACCTAGACACATACATAAACATGGGGAAAGAGTTACTCTGTCAGCAAGTTACCTATACCTTTTTAATTGCACGTTTATATTAGGTGACCTGTACTTCTCCATCTGCATATAAGACTTTACTTTGTTCACAGACACTCAGTATTAAGAAAATGTTTTTTTTTCCTAACGAAATATCTGCCAGCCATCTCCTCAGTGTATTTTTAAAAGCACATTTTTCAGTAGCGTCCTTACACCCTATTATAGCTTCTCCTGAAGTCCCAGTATTTATTTACCACTTGTATATAGATGTAAAAATGCCCTTCCATTTTACGATGCAGTTGTCTCATACTTTCATAGAATATAGACTTCTCTAACACACAAACAGCAAAACTTACTTGCATTTCTACAAAATCTTCAGCTCTTAACAGGTGCTGGCTAATGCCAGATTGATTGCACTTATCTGTAAAATAAAAGCTTGGAAAGCAAAGTAACTTGGAATTTTGTTTAGTAACTTGAGACAAATACTTACAAAAAGTTTCCAAACTGCTATACCACACCTATGTCACAACCTCACTGACCAGTAGCAAGGCCTAGAAAGTTTCTAGTTGCACATATACTTCAAAAATTTTGAAGTTTAGTCAGATCTAAAGCCAAACTTCTATTTAAAAAAAAGAAAAACAAAATCCTACGAACTGGAAACTCACCTTTCAGTTAGTCCTATAAAGTAGCTCAGAATGGGAAACCACACCGAATAGCAGCCTTCAGTGTAAACTGCCTCAGCTGACAAGGTAACACTGAGAACATACATAAACATGCCTTAAACTGCAGTTAAGATTTAGTCAATCTGAAAGCTCTGGCTGAAGGCTGGAACAAAGCTCCTCCTTTAAGAACTGGTATAAGGGAGAAATAGTGATGGAGATTTTTTCTTCCATTTTATGAGGAAAAAGGTGAGATTTTAACAACCCTTTTAAATACACAGGCTAGACAGCATTCACTCAGATGACAGATGGTTGTTCTGATCTTTATTCTACCTGAGGGAGTCAGCTCCATTTCCCAGCTCTCAGAAGAGTGGCCTAAACATTCACCCAATGGCAATTATGTGGGATAAGGCCTGTGTGAAACTCTTAATTCCTCTTCAGAGCTGCTCTACTTTGCCAGTCCCAGGGCTGCGGAGAGAGTAAGGGCGACTCTAACCTCATAGGCAGGGTCCTCATCTAAAAAGAGAAGTATTATAGGTCTCAGTCACCCATCTAGGGCAATTTTTTTTTTTTTTTTAAATTGACTTACTCTTTGGATAGAATTCGCACTTAAGAACTGTGGTGGAATGGGGTTGAAGTTTGCAGTTTTTCATTAAAAGCACCAAGCATATACATGGCAAAGATACAAAGCAATATTATGCAAGGGGTAGGGATCAGCTCCAAAAAGCACACTTTCCTACCACAAACTGCAGTTTTCAGTTAAAATAAGGTTTACCTTTTGGATAACCAAAAAGTATTTAAACTGTGCCCAGATAGTGACACATCTCAGCCAGTAAAGAAATTCCATTCAGGAGTTATATGCTGGTTGATCTAACGGAACATTTTCTCACCTACCTTTTATATTCTGAATAGGTCTAAATGTATTAGAATTTCTATTTCATTAGCTAGGAATAGCCTTTCAAACTATTTTCTGACTAATAAATCTTCCATTTTATCTTAGTTCTGTGGGAACACGATATCCCATTCCATGTAATATCCCTATTTCTACAAATGGACCAGAAATCATTACATAAATTTCTTCAGTAATTAAAGATAGATGTGGTTTTGAACAGAGGCCCATATTTAATTTTGTATATTACTGATATTAATCATAATAGATCCAATTAACTATGCAGAGTAACACTATTAAATGATATTTAAATTTGGCCCAGAACGCTACTACATTATTAGAATCTAATGCACTGGAATAAATGCTGTTCAGAAGTCACCACATCAACTTTTCTTGATATTTTGCTGCCTATTTTCTCAAATGAGGGAAGATGAGCAAGATGCCAAACAACATACGTAAGCATTTGAAATTAGAGCAGTCAGTGTGAATCTTAGAAACATGATCCATAGCCAAGTCCAGTCTCCTGCTACTGAAGGCAAATGGTGTATAACCTCTTACCATCTGCTACAATATTCTGAGTTCAAACCATGTTTGCAAAACTTCTGGAAGAAGAACTATATATATAAAGGTGGCCCATTTCAAAACATGACACTGAGCCAATTACTAGTTTCCAGAATATTCACAGCCTTAGGACATATTCCACAACACAGCTACTACAGTATTAATGTTCCATGCCAAAAATAAATAAGTGACAAATTAATAATGCTGAAAGACAGCAAAGACCTAAGGAAATATTCCTAACCACATACTATGGTCTTCTTCCTGTGATATTTACATCCAAATTTTGCAAGTTCACTTTTCTTAGTTTTTAATATTTAAGTAAATATCACATCTTCAACAAAATGCCAAATCACACACACGCGAAAAATGGAGGCTATTACCTCATGCTGTGATAACTCAACAGGAAGCAAGAATGTTTCCTCCAAGGTAGAAGGCTTGGCATATGGCCTCTACACACAGACTGCAAGCTGAACCTTCTGCTGCTAGTAGGTAGATTTTCATTCCCATAACTCATTCTTCAGCATTCATTAGTGAAATGCAGTAGTGAAACAGAATTAAACACACATGCACTCTTCAAACATGAACACTTTTTAAGGAAAATATGCAGTAGCTGTCCTTTCTCCTGCCTCCTTCCTACCAATTCACACAGACCCTCCTTCTGCATGTCGGATATCTACAGTTTAGAGCCTCCTTAAGGGGCTATGTTTTTCTCAGGAGCGCAAAGCATGTGTTTAGATCTACCAGAAGTCCTAGTGGAGATCTTATATGCATATTGTTATCTTTCATAGACCATTAACAAAGGAAGATTATTTTATCAGAGACATTTGTTTCCCTAATGAATTTTTGAACAATAAATTAACATAGAAGCTTTCTACTCTATCCACCATAGCCCAGATTCTGTTTCAGAAAAGTGTTTGTTTTTTTTAAAAAAAAAAAAAAAAAAGAGAATGAAACTGGTACAAACTTTTGCACAGACAGGTAATGTCCTCCGGTACTGTAAATTCTAGTAAGTGATCTTTGTTCACTGAAACCCCTCAAATCTCCTTATATTCAATGCTTACGATCAATGAACCACAAGATTCACATGGGAAAACTGAATGCTAGGGAATCGTGTTTAAAAATCTGACTTCTCAACATCGTTCCCTAAAAGGATACCGTATATTTTGCAAACATTTAATTTCCGGTTAATCATGTTGAAAATTTAGTCTCAAGCTACTTCAGAAAAAACACCTACTGCATAGAACAGCAGGGCAATTCCAAGTACATTTCAGTGCTTACGTGTGGTGGGAAGGGCAGTGGCTCAGGTCTCCCTACAAGGCCTTGGCCAGAAACACGTTGCTGGCCAAGAGGCTGTAACACCCCATCTGCTTCAGTTCCTGAGCGAGACTGCTAAATGCAAGATGCTTTCACAGAAACGGCAAATATCTGTCTGACACCAGCTGTGACCTCCTGCCTCCCGAGTAGTTGGACTATGCTGCGCTCACGGTTGTCACTGCAAATAGCTTCCTTTGGATAATCTTCATGGGCGTTACTTGCAGTCCTATTTCTCTAAAGCAATACTGTCCAACGCTTGGAGAAACCGAGATTTCACACTACTGCTTGGAGCGTTTAAAACAGCAATACACATTTTTCTACAAGAGACAACGTAATCAAGCTCGTGAGGGAAAACAGTCAGCCTGAAAATCCAAGAAACCAATGTAGATGCCTTAGTCCTTTTCCACCTTAAAGTCTTTACTTCTCAGGCTTAGGTTAAAGCATGACTCTCCAAGAAATTTTTCCAACTCAAGGTTTTTTCTCTCTCTTTTTTTTTTTTAATAAAGAAGGAACTTTCTGACAAAATCTGTGTACAATCTGGCATCTGACTGTTGTTTTGCGTTGCCAGGCAAGCTATTGCTAAACATACACTCGGCGCTATACGTAGTCTCATTTCAAGAAATCCTAACGTTAACCCATTAACTGTAATTTACTGCACTAGGTACTGAGAGGAGCTGCAAAAAGCAGGGCCCAGCACCCCCCCCCCGCGGCTCCGCGGAAACCTCGCGCCCACCCGAGCCGGCGCCGGCGGCGG